GGTTGTTTTTAATCAAGGCTGTAAGCTTACTGAAAACACAATTCATATTTTACATTGCCCCATCTCATCCTTTAATAATTACTTTGATTTTAAAAAATAGAGATAAAGGCCTTTTTGCTGAAATAGTGTTACTCTGACGGAATACTTATTATTTTGGATTGATCCACCTCTTCCTGTTAAACAGGGACTCACCTCAGGAGGTCCGTGGAAAGAATAAGCATAAAGGATGGGCTGGATCATAATGAGAGACTGGGTCAGATCTTGCCTAGCAAAGTGGTGACGGTAATAAGAAGATTCATCTGGACTGTTATTGAAGACCTGCAGGAATGGGGAGCGTCGCAGATGGAACATGAACTGCACCAGAAAGATGAGCGAGAAGAGAAATGTCAGCAAGTTGCCAAAACTTCTGCACCCAAGTCCAATCTTTCTGAGCAGCAAATTCTTTGGGAAAAAGTCTACCTCTTATTAACTCCTCAGACTTCTTCCCTTATCAGTCATTTGCAGCACTAAACTACAGGACCAGCCCACCAAATTAAAAAAACACCTGTTCCTCCCTTCTTGAATCTGATAAATGCTACAAGATGTTTTATCATCGCTCCCACTCACCCTTGCCCACTTTTCCCATGGCTGTGGGAAGTGAGTTCTTACCTGGGGATACAAAGAAAATGACTCTGACAATCTGAAGGAGTTGGGATCATCTTTGTTGTATTGTCCAAATTTCTGACACTGTTGGAAGCAAAATGGATACTTTGGTTATCTCTCTCTTTTTCTAATTTTTTTTTCTTTCTTTTTAGAATTAACACTTTTTTTTGGAAGGGTGTTCTTTTGGTTGTTTTTAAAAAGAGCAACAAAAGCATGAACATGACAATAAGAAGTAAGAAAAATAGCCTGTAAATTTTATGTAAGTCAGTGGTTTCTGTATCTTTCTGGAATGAGAATGATGATTCAATCTATTTATTGATTTTTATATATAGATTAAATCTAGATTTGAAATTATGTAAGAATGAAAGAAATAGCACTTTTAGTACTGCCCAATTTTTTCCATTAAGTCAGGGACACTACATTATACCTAAACTGCTTTGTACACTATGAAACACTTCTGCAGCAACTCTGCTTCCTTGTAGAGCAGCAGCAGATTGGCCTTTCACCAACTGCTTCACCGAAAATAAGAAGCATCAATGGTTTAGTGCAATTTAAGTATAAATGACTCCACAATCATTTCAGCACGCAGCATGCCCATGTGTGTTTTGGTGCTCAAATCTTTATTTGATACTGGCCCTGTTTTTCCAGGGTCTGATGTGCCATATCGGTCAGAATCAACTCCACATGGGAGTTTGGACAAGGTCAGAACTGATTTAGGCAATTCAGGCTTGTGAAATTCAAAACAAGAGACAGTAAGAATTGGTGGAATTGATTATTAGCCTGAACTTGGCACCAAGAAGCCCACATCTGAATGCTGTGTCCAGTTTTGGGCTCCCCAGTGCAAGACAGACATGGATATACTGGAGTAAGTTTAGCAGGGAGCTGGAGCACCTCATGCAGAAAGAAAGGCTGAAGAAGGTGGTTTTGTTCAGCCTGGTGGAGAGTGGGACCAAGGAGTCATATCCCTGTCTACAGCTACCTGATGGGTAGCTGGAGAAATGGAAATTCTGATGGGACTGGGGAGGGGAGAAAAGAAAAAAAACAAAATTCACAGTGACAGCAATCAAACATTGGAACAAGTTGTCAAGAGAAGCAAGAGAAACTCCATCTTTGGAGGTTTTCAAAACTCAGCAAGACCTGGAGCAACCTGCTCTAACTTCAAAGTTGGCCCTACTTTGAGCTGGGGGGTTGAGCCAGAGACCCCTAGAGGTCCCTTCCCACTTGCATTATTCTGTGTGTCCCTATCACTTCTTTATTCTCAGGTTTAACCCTTTCATGACAGGATGTTTACCTACCCCATCACAAATTCACTGATCATACTGGGTTCTGAGCTATCACGTACTACAACTACATGATTGTGATCAAGGCACAAACGAAGAAAGTCAATCTGGAAAAAGGGCTGCTGTTTTCATTTCCAGAGACCATTTTTACTAAAATCACGAATGCACCCAGCTGCAGTCTATTGGTCTTACCAGTCTGATCAGCTGTCTGTCCAGCCATCGCAGAACATCAGGTCCCTCCTCGGATTCAGCTCGGTACACTCCCAGTCGTGCCATCAGCACAGCAGCTGCTTCCTGGTCAAACGCAGCTTCTATATGCTGGAGCTGACTCTGTGCATCTGCCCAACTATAGGGTTAGTAAAGGGTTAGTGCTACATGCATTCACTTTCAGCAAAACCCAAACCAGAATCGTCCTCGCTTTGCCAAATACTCTGTGTCCAATGCATGCAACAAAAAACTAGAAAAATTTCAGCACAGACTGTGGTTTAAGTTTCTGCCAAAGAACTGGCATGAGATACTCACTTTCTGGCTATGGTGGTGACACGGATGCGTTTCTGTGTACTGGAGTGTTGATACTGAGTGACAAACTGCACTGCTCCTCTGCCTCCCTGAGGTATTGGTGCATTGTGCTGCAAATGAAACAAGGTAAGCCTTCAAAACAGGCTGACTCTTCCATAACTCTGTACACTACAGAGAACTCCAGGGCATCATTTGAGCAATCAATCTCAATAGCAATGAATGTAAGAACGGCAGCGCAAGCTCTGAGCAAAGGTCCTGCGAGTCCACCATCCTATTCCCAACAGTAACAAGCCCACACAGCAGAGAAGACAAAGAGACACACACATGGAATAGAATTCCTTTGGGGTAGCCTTTCTAGCTTCCAGCTACCACATGCTCAGAAACTTCCCCAGCCAAAAGTTCCTTCTGAGCCATCAAGTTATGACAACTTGGAGGATCAATTCTCCAAGAATTTGAAGGTATTTATACTTCTCCACAGCACCTACTGGCAAAAAGACAATTTCTTCTTTGTTAAATAAATACTATAGGAAGAAGACAAGGAAAGAATGCAGTTTCATACAGGCCAAAAATATTAGACGATTTATGCACATGAAAACAGCCTTTGAGACTATTTCTTTGGCACAAAACACTTGGTTGCTTTGCAACCATCTATCTGCAACACAGGGGATGTCATTGCATTTTCTGGCCCGTCAGAAACAAATTGTTTGGTTTGTAAAACAGACAACCAAAAAAACCAGAGAAGTCAGGACTGACCTGATTTACCACTTCAAAGTAAATGGCCAGAGTTGTGCTGGGATCCAGACTACAAATTTTCCATTGAGATGTTCCTCCAATTCCAAGCTCCTGCACAGAATCAAAAAGAAAGCAGTGTTTTTGCCTCTAGCAGCAGGTAAGGCAAGCTTATGTTAAATTCTGATCAGAGGTATAAGTAACAATAGGCTTTCTAGATTTCTTATCTTTGACGTGTGAATGAAGTTACTGAAGGCCATACAGTTACAAGAAAGCCTTATGGGGCAAGAATTCAGTCTAGGAAAGACTGTCTTTTCCCAGGGATATAGAACCATAGAATGCAGTATTTCCAAACTGTTCTTCTTAAAAACTCTGACATTCTAGCTGAGCTGTAGGTCTAGATGGAAACTTTACACTGTTTATTTACTTCTTTATTTAAGTTTTTTCCATGTCAGAAACTTACGTTTTCAGAGACACATGGTCCTTTAGCATTCAGGGATATGCATGGTCCAATAGCTCCTGCAATTTTCAGCTCCCTAGAGGTCTAGAACAAGGTAAAGAAAGTCATTTGTGGGTTGTTCTTTTAAATCAAGTCAGTCAAACAGAATACACACAGACTAAATCAGTTGCTCAGCCTTGATCAGATGATGTGTACACATGGCTGTCAATGAAAGCATCTCTGAGGACTTTCCCAGATCACCGACCGCTACAATTAGTAAACGTAAGAGAATCTACATAGGCACACTTAACAATGGAGACATATCTATAGTGACCATGAGAGAGTATGAAATGTTCCTAGCTGAAGGAGGAGAGGCTGACGTCAGCTGCTTTTTTTAAAAAAAAATTTTAAAAAGCCAAACACAAACTTAATAAGCTTCCAAACAAAAATCCCTCTGCTTACTCCAGTATGGTGCTTGTCCCAAAAGAGGCACTATGGCTGACCTCAAACATGTAGAATTTTCTACACCCCAGATACTTAAATCGACTTTTGAATGAATAGCACTTTTATTTCCCAGTTAGTGTCATCAATGAAACGGATCTCTCACCTTCACGTCCAAACTTGCACCAAAAGCCATCCGAAATTCCCCATTGAACCCTTTGTTAAATACCCGCTGGAAGGTCTGCTTGAAGAGAGAAGTGTTGAAGGAGTCTCCCATCACCATCTGCCCTCTGGGAAAGAAAAAACAATATACGAGGGAACTGAAACAACTGGGAACTAGAAGTAAAGCACAAAGGATGCATCCCTCCAATTTTTATTGCATGCAAACACATGCAGAAACTGTTTTAAAGCATGCCTTTGCATATGTAGAATTCACATCAGGGAACACCTTCTCCAAAGCCAGACAAGCTAATGCTCCATCTTGCCAGCTTGCTTTCTTAACTGTATTTCTCGCCATCCTTTTAGTTGCCTTCAAAATTCTCTTGTTCTACCAGTTCGAAATATCTCAGCTCAGGACAGAGCTTTGCTCAGCCTGCTTTCCCTGAGCAGGGCTGGAACCACACACACTCCAGGCTGGGCCTCCCCGAAGTGTCTCACTAAACCCAGGCCTGATCAGACAGAACTTAGTAACACAAGCAAAGGATCAAACAATCTCTCTCCTGCTTACTGAGCATTTATGTGATTATTTACAAATACCTTGCATTTGTTCAAACCGTCTTTTGACTCCCTAGACATAGCAGAGTTTAAATGCCTGATAAGACATGCTGGGTCCCCAAAAGGCCCAGTTTAACACACAGCCTTCCTCACAGAGACCATAACTTTTTCAGTAATATGGAACACAGACATTTACCCCTTAGAGATAGTCACTTAAAACTAGATCCAGGGAAGCCAAGAATCCCTGGAGAAAGTATGAGTTGTTAAGCAGAGAAAATCTGGCCCACGCAAAGAAAGCTTCTACCCACCACACCTGGCAGTCTGCTCTTCTAATGGCACTTCAGTCATGCAGGCACCACAAAACAAGGCATCTCTATCCCCTAAATTCCAGAAAGGATACTCACTATCTCCCAAGGAGGCACAAGGCTTTTGCAAAAGACATGTTGCACCGTGCTTTAGAATACCTTTCTCAAAGCAGGACATCAAGTTTTCTACCAGCAGTGCTAATTCACATGCTGTTTTGAGACTTCAGAAATGTGGACTGGGAACAGGTGAGGTTTGCCATATAATTCCTGGCAAATTCAAACCACAGTTTAGAAAAGAATGATAAAAAATCTCACTCGTTTGCCCTGACAGCAAACTTAACTGCTTTACGAACAGTTGTCCCACTCCAAAAAAAAAAAAATAAAGAAGAAAAAAAAAGAAAAAGAAAAAAATACACAGGTGCCAACTTTGTGCTCTCCTGCTATGAACATACCCGGTGAGGTTTGCACAACACTTCATCTCTAGCAGTCCGGTCTGATCCAGGGCACAGGCATAGATGTCGATGCAATGCCCGTTGGCTGCAGTGCGATTAGCCAGAGTCTCGTAGTGCTGGGGAAAACATACACAGTGTTTAAGATGCCACAAAGAGCAATTTTTCTACTACTGCTCTTCAGCTGAGGCCAACAGGTGAAACACAAGGGATAAATGAAGCCATTACCAGCGCTGTGTTAACTAAACAGCGGTTTGCTCTTACGGCTCTGCTGGAGCACACTTCTCCCTCCTGGGATGTTTGCACTTAGATAAGCTCGAGTTGCACGGCACAAATACCGAGAGTGCGTGAATTGCACAGGATCTTTGTCTGTGGTAACTTAGTGGAAACTCAAAGGTTTCCAGGTGATAGTTCAGAGAACAGGTGTCATACTGCTTTCTCTAAGCTGCCATGTCTGACATTTTTACTATTTTACATGCTGTTTCACATGTCAAGAAGGCTTTCTGGAAGTGACCTATTCGTGGAAGACAGGTTTTCTGTCCCCAGAAGGAGATACAATGATGTTGATAAACAAACTCTCCACCCACCATCAGCTAAGAAACAATGCTACAATACTTCTTTCTCTAAGAACGCACAAGACTGTGCTGGACAAGTAACTAGGAGGAAGTCTTTTTTACCCTTCTCTTGACCATTCTCACAATTTAACGTACACAAAAGGCTCAGGCACTTCAAGGACAACCATACAAATATCTGGACATACTGTTCCCACACTGAGGGAATGGAATATGTTTGTTCCCTGGGGAAGGACACTGGGCAGCTGCCAAGGTAGCAGTGTATGTAGGTTTGCGTTATGTCCTTCCCCCCATAGAGTGTTCTGACACAATATTCAGTTTTTGTTTTTAAACATAGCCAGCAGGCACTAGCACCTACTTTGGTGGCCTTCTTCATGAACCTCGCGTTGTCCTTCTCTATGTCATGCCAAGAACGGATGGGTGTTTTCAGTTCATCTCCTACCACCATGCCCGGCCCTTGTGTTGGTGGCCCACCTGTAAACAGCATTATTCTGGCCCCTGTGTTCGGAAAAGTGCCCTGAAATGAAAATAAAAGACTGTATCAGAGGCTTGGGGGGCGGGGGGGGGGGGGGGGGGGAAGGGAAAAAAAAGGAGAGACTGATTAAATGACACCAATGCTTTCTTTAGAGAAGCATCTGCATTGTTTCTGTAATGTCATTAGGGACTTGTCTCTGCTAGAGGCCGCCTTGATAAACAGTGATGCATTTCCTGACAGTCACAGCACTCTCAAGTTTAGACTCAAGCTTCATGTCTTCATAACAGAAAGCAGGCAGTTTCTGTTCTTTTCACTTACATCTTAGATGACCCTCAGATAAACCCAGTGCATCACATCACCTCCGCATGGCGATACACACAAGAACCAGAGATCTTTAAACACCTGCATATTTTACCATTTAGATGTAAACTCCCAGCCCACTCTACACCAGCTGGTCCTAATACATGTCAAACCTCAGCAGAGACAAACTGCACCTCTGCAGCCTAGCGTAACTGGGCCACAGACCAAGCCAGATTCTGACACCTCCGCATGTCTCAGCAAAGACTGCCACACGCTTACTTTGACCAGCTCATCTCAAACAACAGCACTAAAAGTACCTCCAATAAGCCAACAGCAATTGAAAGAGCTACTCCAGTGGAACGTAAAGGCCTCTTTCA